ACTCCTCGAATACGGACTTCAATCGGGAGATTTTCGATACGCTGGATCTAGACTTGGGGCAAATGGATGTGGCGGGACTGCAGATGCTGTCGGATCAGAGCCCGATCATGATTGCCGATCCGAGCATCGAGGATAGCTTTCGTCGCGACCTCAACTGATACTATGAGGAGGCTGTTGCGGCCATCGAGAGCGGCGTGCTGCTCGAGGACACCTACGAGGCGCTGCTGGATGCCGGCATTGCCATGCCACTGCCGTCCTCCAGTCCCGCCGGCAGCTGCCCGGATGTCCAGCAGCAGGCGGCGGCAGCAGCCGCAGCAGCAGCAGCAGCAGCAGCTAGCGAAAAGGACAAGAAGGACTTGGAGGTGGTTGAGCTACTTGTGCCGGGTGTCATAGATGATCTTGTCGACTCCGCCGACTTGGATGAGGAAGTGCGCAAGTTTTTCTTCTAAGTCAAGCCAACCTAACGATGACGGTACACACAAACACATACACACATCCTAGATGTAAGCGTTGTTATGCCCATACTAGTCCTTGTACTCTCGTCCCCGCAATCCTTGTCCTACTCGTCCTCATCCCCAGCTCCCCTGCTCCCTGTCATTCGTTGTGCTTTGTGTAGCTAGCTTGTAAAACTTAGCCGTTAAGTCTACTTGAGAGTCAAACCACAAAAAAAAAAAGAAAAAAATAATATAAATAATTATAATAATACCATATCTACCCTCCAATGCGCTCCCTCCCGGCACCCCTCCAAGCAGAACCCGTTAACATATGTTATATATTTAACAGCGAGTCTCAGATTTTACTTAACTACGCACATAAGTCACGAAAATACCTACTACTACTTACTAAATATATATATATATATGTATGCAAATATATATATAAAAATTGTAACGCTACTTTCTGTATATAACAACAATATATACATGCACATGTATATGTATTTATTTATATAATGGAAAAGGATTAAAACCAAAAAGTGTCTTAGACCTACGACCAAATTATTGTACACGTTCTATAAAGCAAAAAACAAAAACCACGATAACAAATAAACACAAAAGAAATTCCTGTAAAATAAAGCTACAATTTACCAACTATTTATAACAGATAATAATGCTATCAGAGCCCACACATAGCTAACGGATATATCCAAAATTACCCTTACGTGCCGTCGAAGCAATTACTAGTATTTAAGACCGCGGACCGTTAAAGTTATCGATAACCCGATACCGTTACCGTTACCGTTACCGATACCGAGCCTTCCAGTGCTGTAAAATACCTTGATCTATGTTAAATTCAAACTGTTTCTAGACCTTTTCGAATACCATAATTGCCAGAAAAGAAAGAAAAATAAAATATCTAACGATAAATTATGAGCCACAACTCTCTATAAGATGCAGTATCACAAATATATAGCTAAATCTATAGTTTATATACTTACTATACACATTTGGCCAGCTAACACGAGGCGATCAGGTTGTTATAGCTCCGTTGCCGAGACGATCCCGAGCATCCTGCAACACGAAAAACGCGCTCCACAGACGACAAACTTAACGAAAACTGAAAGAATAAACAAACAAAAAGCAGAAAACAAATAAATCAAAAAACGAACTACTCAAAATTTTTTACAAAACCTTAAAGCTAAATATACACATACATAGTTAGGAGGCAATGAAAAATGTAACACAAATTCGTAACGAATTCTTTAATAATAATATATTAAACCACACACACACACACACACAATGTAACTAAACGCATCAAATTTTTCGCAACAAAAATTTTAAATACAATATTTTTTTTCAATTCCAATCCAAGATTAATAATCATAAATATATAGCAGAGTCGAAAATTTATAAAGCGAATACAAATTTTTATGAAACGATAACAAAATGAAAGCGCATGCAAACACAGGCTTTAAAAGTGCAAAAGTTTTATTAATTGAGTACCAGAACTTATATACATAATATTGTTAATTATATAGTAACGAGAATATTGCAGAATCAAATATACATTATTTTCCGTTTTTTTAAATGTCAATGTAAAACTCTAGTTATTAACTACATAAGTAAACAATTTAAATCCCTAAAATATGCGAAGAAAAACAAAAACAAAAATAAAAATACTTATTATTAATAATAATAATAATAATACTTGTGAACGTTGTTAAGAGAAAACAGGCGCATTGAATTAAGGAAAACAAATGAATGAAAAAAAAAATGGAAAACAAAACAAAAACAAAAAACTGCAGCAAAACCTTTTGTTGTTTTATTTGTTTGCTGTGTTGTGTTTGTTTTTGTTTTTGTTTATTATTCATTTATTTAATTATTTGAAATGCGCGCGAGCGCGCGCGCTCGTTCGAAATGAACCGAAAATATGTATGTATATGTATATTATACATAAAATACTATTAAAATACAGCTAAGTAATTGTGTATGTAATATATATGATTACGCAACTTTTTAAATTACGAAAACAAAATCCAAACAACAGGCATAAGAGTATATTCAATGTAATAACACAGTTATTTGTTTCAAATAAATCTTAAATTTAATTTTAAATCCATTTCTCACCACATGTTGAATTGAACTGAATGCAACACTTGTATATTCACCACAGCATTCTACGTGCGCATCGCCGCGAATTATTTGAAATTATGAAATATGCAAATAATTGCACGTATAATTGTTGTACCCATGAGAATTAACTTATAAAAACAAAACAACCACATTTTTTTCTTGTTTGCACAAAATACAAAAGCACACACATTGGCTGCAGATTACAATTAGCTGCAACTGCTGTTGTTTTTGTTATTGTTCTTGTTGTTGTTGTTGTTGCAGCTGCTGCTGTTGTTGTTGTTGGTGTGCTGCTTTGTAAATAAACGCGACGCAGTTTCTGGTCCGCGCTAAATTTAATAGCCAAAGTTCAATGTGGCCACACTTAGTCCTATTTTACTTTTACCTTTCGGTACAAGAGAGACAGAGAGACACATGCATACATGTATGTGTCGCACATGCACACACACACACACGCATATGCATGCATATGTATTTCAGCATGTGTTTTGTGCACAAGTCATAAATGTTGAGACAAGCTTAGCTTATAAATAAAACATGAAATTATAGTATAACTCCAAGCGTCGACATTTGAATACCCTTGCCAGCCAAGAAACCAAAGGTGGCAATATGTACTATAATGTGCTACGTACATCAAGAAAAATGAAATTGGCCAACTTATTATTTTAACCTTACCTACCATAAATCGAACTAACATTCTCTATAATGCGACACTTGATAAATGCGTTACATAGCTGCTAACAAAAGTTGAATACCCTATACTGGCTAATGCTTAAAGCGCAAATCGCAATTAACAAATCAAGCTTTTGATTTTTATAACACTGCTCGCGTTGACTTTGCTGATACTGTTAACGGTAAAAGGGCAAGTCGCACAAAAGAGAGTAGGTGGTGGGAAAGAGAGAGCGAGAGGGAGAGCGATTGGCATAATCTCTTCCTCTCTGTTTCCCTGCCGCTCGGTGCTTAGTGCTTCCTCGTGTTATTTCTTAATGAAGCGCCAAAATCAAATCTAATTGCCGCGCTAATGGAAGCTATGACGCTTCGACTATAGCGTCATTATTGTTATCGCTTGGCCCGCTCCCGCACTCAGTGCTCTGGCGACCGGTTCTTAACACTAAAGGCGCAAATGTTATCAGCAAACACGAGAGAAATAGGCAAAAAGAACAAAAATACAAATAAAACAGCAACTGTTTAGCAATCTAGGGGGCGCCTTAAACGACATTCCAAGACGCTGCCAGCGGCCATGCTGCTAACTAGGGGGGCTCTCGAAGTTACTTTATAATTAAATATATACACACACACATACCTATATAGTGTTGCCAAACAGTTGAATGCGCTTTTATAGCACACAATGATAAGCTCTCTGAGCCCGGCAGCTGCCGTGCATAAAAATAATGCAATATGCATAGAAAATAATGAAGTAATTAGTATTGATCACAAGGCAGCCAATCGATTCACAATGGCTCGTGACAATCGTTCACAGTATTTAGCAGGATGTATACACATACATATGTACATATGTGAATGTTTGTATGTATTTTGCGTCGTCAAATTGAGTATTTTTGATTTGTAATCAGTGTTTATAAGTTTTTTAGTATATGTAGCTTTTCTATCCACCTTGTCCCACTGTGGGTCAGGCTATGATTAAAACAACAAACAACACCATGAACAACAACAACAACAAGACCGACAACCGCAATAAATATAATAAAAATAAGTACAAATAAAAATATGCATTGTAATATAACGTAAACAGGCGATATTGCACAATGTATATAAAAAAAAAATACTTGCCAATCAGTATTCTTATAAATACATACATATGTACACACATACATATGTATGTACGCAGCTCTCATCCGGAGATGCAGACATAACCTCAGATTTGCCAAATTATGAATAACGGCAAAGCCGCGTGCACATGCGCCGTGTCAGATGAAATATCGACAGCCTGAGCAGGGCGCGAGAAAGAGAGCGCAAAAGTTGTCACGCAACGGAATTAAACATAAAAAACATTCCGTTATTTGCGTTGCCAATTTGGTGAATGACTATTAAACAGTCTGAGCAAATATTTGACATCTTGGTGGGATTAATACGTCATACGTATATATGTGTCTATTTGCATGGGCGCGGGTAAAGTACCTACTGACTGGCACAAGAATGGGTCACCCGTGCCATAACAATAGCCAGACATTGTTATTGCTGTCGCAGTTGTGTAGTCAACGGCACGCAAATTGATAACAAGGTAACAAATCAAAAATACATATTAATTTATATGATGAATCAGTTAATTTGGACGCATTGCGGCAGAAATAGAAATGATAACTTTTCTGCAAACCAAACCGTGCCTAGCGCTGGCTCTCAAACTGTAAGCGCAGCCAGCTTTCAAACGGTGCCCGAAGCTTTTCTCACAAAAAAGCTCAAAACATGTTTTCCTACACAATAGGCTATCTTTTATTACATTTACTATTTGCTGGAGGCATAATTGCCATTTCATACTCTATTGGTGCGCAGGTAATCCTCGTCCTCGTCGTCGGCATCCTCCACGACGCTATAGGAGCTCTTGCCGCCACCCTCCTTGGACAGATGCGTCTCGAAGAACTCCTCAACGGTGTCCGTATTCCATTTGGTTATCGACAGCGTTTCCTGCACCTTGCCACTGGCGTCCAGCAGCTTGACTAGCGGATCCAGGCCACGCACATATTTAATTTGCAGATTGGGGAACTTCGCTGGTCTGCCGCTCTGTATGAAGGCCTGTATTTGCGGATAGGCTCGGAACTTGCAGGTGCACACCTCCAGAATTGCTTTGGCGTAGGTGCGCTGCGCCGCCGGCTGCTGGTCCTGGGTGCAGCACTGTTTGCAATGCGGTCTGTGGACGGCATAAATAGTTATTCGTTTGCGCAATTGTTAATCTGTTACCTACTTGATGGCTTCCAGGCCAAAATCATCTAGTTTGTCGCAGTTGGAGCACAGCAGCTGGGTCTTAATGAAGCCAAGCTCCCGGCATTGCGCTGCCGTGAATTCGGCATGAGTTTGTTTCAGGCACTGGAGAGTGGAAATTATTCAGTTGGTGTTACACAAGTTTGGCCAGGATTACTCACACTACTTAAAACTAATAGTAAACACAATAATAACCCGAATTTGATCATATTTATTTCCAAAATCTAATTGAACTACCACGTCGTTGCTTACAATATGTTTAATGGTTATCGACTAATCGATATTTTTTAATACCACTGCATTCGATTGGCTAGCGCATCACTGCTAAACTTGGTATTTTTTGTACTTAGTATTTCTTGGTCAGCCGCTTTACAGCACTATTGCACACACACACACGCAGTCTTGAGTCGCGTGAAGTTGGCAGTGAAACACAATTTACTGAAGAAGAAGAATGTGGCTCACGTAGTCGCATTTGTTTTGTTCCATCTAATTCACTTATTAATAATAATAATTGTTAAATTATTGCGAATATTACAAAATTAACGAGAAACAAAACGCTTAACACTTAAGTGATTTGCTGTTCCAAAAAACAACAGTATTCTGTGTGTGTTTGGCAACATTTTTGGCAAATCAATAAACACATTCGCTGAGAGCGAACGCGCTGCGCAAAAGTGAAAATCCAATCAACGAACGCATAGAAAAAGGTGAATAAATAGCAAAAACCTAAAAACGGTATATCAAATACAATTTCGATTGTTGTAAAAATAAAACATGGACATGGGCGCTGCCGAGCTCTCGCTGCTGCATTAAGTGTTGTTGGGGTAGCACAGAAATAGAAACAGAGATGTAAAAGGTTTGCCTGGGGGAAATACAGCTCCAGGGGAGCAACTTGTGTGCGTGTGTGTGTCTTTGTGTATATGTGGCTTATTTACAACTGTTTGTGCGTATGTGTGTGTATGTTTGTGTTTTGATTAGCAAATAAATAATCTTAAAGTTGTGCTGATATTTCGCCTCGGTGCTAAAATATTATTCACTGTGATAAGTGCTGTGTGGCAAAAGCTGTTTATTTAATTCATATTTATATACAACTGACAATTAATTAATTCATTTGCCCTTGTCCGACAATAACAACAAGTGAGGCAACAACAACAACCAGCACAAGATTCTTTTTTTATATTAGAATGCACATGCACAAATACATGCACATACGTACGTCTTTTTATACCCTGGCCGAGTCTATTACAAATTTGTCATACACTAAAGCAGACATTGGTTGTGTGTAAGGGTATACACTCTTCGATATGCCGAACTTAATGCTGCTTGTTAAACTTGTTTTAGCTGCCCACATAAATGCATACAAATTGTATTCTTAACGGTTCTAGCTGATGTATGCGTGTGTGCATGTACGTATGCGTATGCATGTGTGTGCATGTTCATTCAAGTTGATGCATGCAACGACATGATGCTGCCGCAGAAGGAAGCAACTTCTTAAGGCAACTTCCGCCTGCAGCTTCTTGTTTAACTGGTTTAGGGCGCAGCTGCATTTGTGTGTGTCTGTGTGTGTGCGTGTATGTTTATGTATGCATCATTCACACCTGCTGCATGTGCCGCCGTCGGCAGCAACTGCAGCTGTCGTTGTTCTCAAATTTCTTATCACACAAAACCTTCAAATTGCGCATGGTATTTTTTTGTTTTGCTATTGTTGCTGGAAAGTTTTACTTGAACACCTTTGTTAGCCATCGAGCGCTAGTCAACTACCTGCCCAACAAGCCGCCTACCTTTGTGTGTATATGTTAATGCATATACATATGTATAGAGCCTATTGAATTTCGCCTACCCACGCCAACTCTCAGACGGCCTCTTTCTATTTCACGTTCGACGCGCTGGCAGTGGCATTTTTTTTTTTCGTTTCTTTTTTTCGCCTCATTTCTATAATGAGAGTTTTAACGCACACACATATGCATACTTACACAGACACATGTATAGACTCACACATGCACACTTGCAGGCTTACATACACACACACACATGCACACTTATACAAACGTATGTACATGGATACATATGCATACGCTTTCATTCATGTGACTCAGTTGTGGCTTTATCAGTTGATTGCATTGTTGTTACACACACACACACACACACACGCGCACAATCTTTATCGGCTAATCAGCGTCTATTTCGCCATGCTGAAACAAAACAGGCAAAAAAAAATAAAATCTTGCCTTTATATGAATGTACTTTATATGTAAAAAAAAAGACAATGCCTGCTAATTACTCAATTAGCAAAGCGTGAAATGAGTTACTTTCATAGCAGGACTTCTTTGATACCCTTTAATTACATGCATACAGACTCTTTGACAGCCAGTTAATGTGACAGTTATATGGTATAACAGTTAAATTTTGATAAGATATTGTTTGTGCACATATAAGTTGCCTATTTCTGCTTCTCTTGTGTGATTAGATTAGATTTGCATAGCAGGACTTCTTGGATACCCTTTAATTACATGCCTATTATATATATTCTCAGATAGACTCCTTGACAGCTAGTTAATGTGACAGTTATATGGTATAACAGTTAAATTTTGATAAGATATTGTTTGTGCACATATAAGTTGCCTATTTCTGCTCCTATTTTGTGATTAGATTAGATTTTTATAGCAGGACTTCTTGGATACCCTTTAATTACATGCCTATTATATATATTCTCAGATACGACTCTTTGACAGCCAGTTAATGTGACAGTTATATGGTATAACAGTTAAATTTTGATGAGATATTGTTTGTGCACATATAAGTTGCCTATTTCTGCTTCTATTTTGTGATTAGATTAGATTTTCTTTAAAAATAAGAGTGTTTTTTTCAAGCACGCCTTTTTGACCGATAATTACTGCGATTTAGAGATAATACAAGTGTCATATTTGCGTTTTAGAAGTTGACTTAAGCTCGTATTTGGCCAACTTTCAAGTTGTATTGAACAGTCGAAGGTTTTTGAGCCTAGAATATACATCAAATCTTTGGATAATGTTATTTAAATAATTTATATGCCGTTAGGTTCTAGGAAGAATAAAGAATCGAAACGAATTAGAAATGAAAACAAATAGACACTTTTAAGTACCTTTATTAACAAATAAACCCAAAAAAAAATTAGTTTTTTTTCGCTAGTAAAAACACTTTATTGACATACTGTATATAATTATGTACATATCTTCTATACTCTTCTATCTTATATCCTTTTGCCAAATGGCTCTCTCAAGCCTTTCATCACATTCATTTTTATATCATTATGCGCTCATTCGAGTCCTTGACTTTATTCACATTCGTGACTCTTGTTGAAGATTCCTATGAGTATATATATATGTATATATGTTTATGTTTCAGGCTTATAATGGGCCCTGCCCTTATACAGGCACACACAAAAGTATTGGCACAGCAAGCATTTGCTACTTTGCACTCATTTAAATAATTTTAACAAATTACTGTTAAGTCTTTGTGACAAAACTTTAACAGATTTTTGTAGGAAATTAACTGGTTTATATAGAAACATTAATTTGGATAGATGTTTGTTACCAAAAACGAACCCAAAATGGGTGCAAAGTAGAAAATGCTAGCTGTGCCAATACTTTTGTGTGTGTCTGTATGCCCAAAAGCACGCGCTTAACTCCCAACCCAACTTCCACCTTTCCCCTGTCGTGGCCATGTTGCTAATTAAAAGCGGAGCCCAGTGCTAGTTAATAACTACCCCACCCATTTAACTGGCCAGCAACTATTCACGAGTTATTCAAATTCCGTTCACATGTCTTCAATTGCCCAAAGGTCAATCAAATTGCACTCGTTTATTTGCTCGACATTTGCCTGGCGTCTGTCTGTTAAAGTCGCAACCGTTAACTTTCCACGAGAACAGTTACTTTGCGCACAAAGGTGCCGTTAAGTTCAAGGACAGACTTTTAACAACAGGTAACATCTAGCCGTAAAAATAACTTGGCAAACAGAACGCAATTATATGGCTCTACCTGAGCTAAAATACAGCTCGTTTTAGCGATAAAAAGTTCTTGAATACATGCATATAATATATAATATATATATATATATATCCATAATATAGACAATGGAAAATTAAATATTTGTAGTTTTCTGGCATAGAGTTAATTAAGTGGAAAAACCATAATTTTTAATGGGCGTAATACAGTGCCCGCTCGCTAAGTGCAACCTTTTGTTATGTGAGATTTTCATTGTCGAAGTACTTTTGCATTATAGTTAATCTTTAATCAATATTTTCGAGTGCATTCTAGAATTTTCTTCAAATTCGACCTTTAAAAAAGTTTAAGAACATCAGAAATTACTTGGTTTAAAAAGAAAAGAATTTTATATTCATCTGTGGAATTGTCGGAAATAAGAACAGCTATTAAATTAGAATAGGAATTCTATACGCTTTATATAGAAATCCGATTCTTGAAGTTTGACTGTTTTTTTTTTTTTTTGACAATTCTAGTTTTTAAGAAATATATTCCGCGCTCGCGTTAGTTAACCAACACTGGCCAGTGTTAATCAATTCACCTATGTTCCGCTTTGGTGAGTGTTATTTTGTGAAATTGATCAAAATGATGGATTTGCTATTTCCATAAAAATAGTTGACATTTTTTTTTTTTGCCTAAAGAGTTAAGGAAAGTAAATGAAAGCTATCCTCTTTATTTTCTTTACAATTGATCAATCCACTTATATTCCGCTTTGATGAGTGTTTTTGTTTTTTTGTGAAATTGATCAAAATAGTGAATTGGCTTTAGCTATGATAATAGTTGATCTCCTTTGACGCTATCGCATCTCATTATTTTCTTTAAAATTGATCAATTCACTTGAATTCCACCCATATTCCGCAAGATTCAAATTTCACCAAATTGCTTAAGGGAAGGAATTTACTGTACCCTCAATAAGAGCTTAAGTGTGGCTATTAAATGTGCCTGGATTACGTCTCCTGACGTTCCACCTGTTAAGTTCAACGATTTCGCGAATATTTATTGCTTTTAAAAGTTAAGAGTGTGCATATGAAAATTGAAAATCGAAAAAAAAAAGATAAATAAAAACAACAACAACAACAAAATGAAACGATAAACAAACCCAAACCAAGTGCAAACTGTGTAAACAACAGCTCTCAGTTCAGACAGGTAAATAAATTGTGTAATTTGTGTTTTATTTTGTAAAATGTTTGTTAATTAATAAGCTGCTTTGTTATTTTCCACACTCAGGTCGATACCCAAAACCAATGCGGGGCGGGGGCAGCGCAAAGAGCTTAGAGACAGAGAGAGAGAGGGCGAGAAAGAGAGAGAGAGAGAAAGTGAGAATCAGAGAGAATGAGGGCAAGGCTGGCCTAGGCAGGCATTAACACACACGCACACAGCACAGCACAGCTCGGCACAACAAACACTCGCACACACACAGCCACACACACACTCGCACAGTTAACTATGAAACACTTTCTGAATTTTGAGTTGATTTTAATTGCACTTTGCTTTTATTCTGTTTGCAGCTAAAGCAAAACACAAGACACACAAATCGTACGCCAAAACGCCATACACATTCCCCAACGTAATCCTCACCAGCTGCTCGCCTGCCTCTGCCTCCGCCTGCCATGCGCCGCCGCCAATGCCGCTAAAGTCAATCTTATAGAAATTCACTCAAGATGAGAGCCGATCTGCTGCTTGCCATTTGTGCGCTGTGCGCCTGCCTCTCGCTGAGCGTCGCCTGCTCCTCGCGTGCCATAAGCAAGCCTCGACCGGAGGCAACGGCCACAACGCCACCGGCGCCGGACAATGTCATTGCGCTGAGCACGACGGCGCGGCCGAACATTACATTTCCCATCTTCAGCTGCCCGCCAACATATGCCGCCTGGTACTGCCTGAACGATGCCACCTGCTTCACCGTGGAGATTCACAACGAGATTCTGTACAATTGCGAGTGCGCGTTGGGCTTTATGGGGCCGCGCTGCGAGTATAAGGAGATCGATGGCTCCTATTTACCGACACGGAATCGCGTCATGCTGGAAAAGGCGAGCATTGTGAGCGGCGCCACGCTGGCGGTCATCTTTATGGCCATGTGCTGTGTGGTGCTCTACTTGCGGCACGAGAAACAGGCCAAGCAGAAGCTGCACGGCGGCAGCGGCAACGATGTCGGCGACATGGGCTTCGAGAATGCCGGCGTCGACGAAGTGGACGGTCACAAGCCATTGCGCATAGCGCGTCGTCCGTTTGGGCCGCATCACAGCCGGATCGCTACCTTGGAGCAGGCCTATCGCCAGTCGGCTGCGAGCCACGAGAGAGCCAGGCATTAGCCCACTAATTAACCAGCGAATGTCGTTTAAAACTGTTTAACTGTTTTTTCATTTTATTTAACTGTTTTTCTTTTCAATTTTAATGCTTTAGTTTATTTTTTGTAAACGACTCGAGCGAATTGTAGTATTAAGTGCCTTCCGATTTGCAGCCGAGGAAATAAGTATTATTAACTGAACGCTGAATTAATGCAATGCAATTTTGGCAGCTAGCCGCCCATTTAAAACAACTAATTTAATTAATTATTTATTTAACAAATGACAACGCGCGTTAACAACGTTTAATAAATGCGTGCCAAGCAATTTAAACGCCTTTTTTATCTCTCTTTCTCTCTCTCTCTTGCTTTTTTGCAGTTGCAGCTTGTGTAAACTCTTTATTAATCCGACTTCTGTATGCTCTTCCCTTGCAGCTATGCCGCACAACAATCAGCAGCAGCAGCAGGGATCGACGCCGCCTGGCGATGATCCGCTGGGCCCGCCCAAGGCGGACTTTAGCGCACCGCCGCCCTATGAGCCGGACGCACAGGGTCAGGGTGGCCAGGAACAGTTGGGTTTGGCGCCGCAGCTGCCCTCGCTGGCGCTGACCACACACCACCATGTTGTCGGGGATGGAGGTCAGACGCAGAGCGAGCTGGTGCTGCCGCAGGAGCTGCACGGCAAGCTGCCCACCTACGAGGAGGTGCAAATGGAGAAGTCATTGAACGGAGAGCTGCCGCCCGCATTTCTGACATTGCCATCGACACAACAGTTGCCACCGCCACCGAATCCCTTGCTGCCGCTGCCGCCCAATCCGCTGCGCGATGGCCCGGCCGCCGTGCGCAGCAATCATCCGGCATTGACGTTCATTGCCATCGATGCGAGCGATCCGGAGAACAGTTTGTCGACCACAGATAATTTGCTGGGCACGGACATTATGTTCATAACGGCCTTTATGGTCGCATTTCTGTTCAACTGGATTGGCTTTCTGATGCTCACCTGTTTCTGTCATACAATTGCGGCACGTTACGGTGCGCTGTCCGGCTTCGGACTGTCGCTGGCCAAATGGACGCTGATTGTGAAGCACTCGACGGACTTGGCATCGCACGAGAACTCTTGGCTCTGGTGGCTTATCTGCGCCTTTGGCTTTCTGATTGCCATACGCGCGTTCATACAGTATGTGAGCATTAAACGCTCCTGGCGCCTGCTCTCCGCATCGGCCCAGGAGCGGCTGCTCTTCTTCTACTAGGTGCGGCCGCCGTCGCCGACGGCGGGTTATGTAAATACATTAAGTATGCGAGTAATTTGAATCGATGAAGACACAACAAATCCTTTCGTTTCGTTTGATCCCAAAAATCGATTGCAACCGATGCGAACTTACTAATTGGTTAGTGTTTCTGTAGTTACTATGTTAAATAGCGCAAGTTAATCCATATAAATCCCGTTAATGATAGCATATAATATTGTCAGCATGTCCCACGAGACGCGCACAGTTATTGTGAGAGCCGGGCCGGAGATCGCTTGGATCACCGTTCCGCTGCACCCTTTGGCTGTTTATGGGCCATCTAATTGATTATGTAACTTGTATATGTAAATGTGTATAGATGTCTCACAGTAGTATCTTCTATTCTTTTAGTAGTGGACACTTTTCTGGTCCACTAGAAACGAAAACACACACAAAACACGTAGATAAATATGCCACCATATTTTTGTTGAATCTATTTTATGCTGTGGTACTTAAAACAGCTAAACAAAAGCCAGCAGTAATTTTTCTAGATAAATGCAAAGCTATTATAATTACTATTATTGCTATTATAACGTTTATAATTAATATGTTTAATCCCTTTGTATGTAAATTAAAATATGCATTGCAAGGTCGTATGCAATCTGCTATACGTCAGTTTTATGCAAATAAATAAATCAAAAAAAATTAAATTACATGTGCTAATATGTATTTCTGCTATTCAATTTATTGTTATGATCATTATCATTTGGCATTTCAGTTTTACTTTGCAAACATGGCTAAATGTCTAATAATTCAAAAATCCCGCCATCCGACGAAAACCAACACTGCGTGTCTATCGAACCGATTTCACAGTGTGGCAACGCCAACCTTACAAATCAACCCTGCTGTGAACAAAATTAACAACACTATTTATCGCAGTAAGCCCTGCACATTACTTGCAGCTCACTAAGAAAAGTTGTCTCGTCGTGTGTGGGAATATATATTCACAACAGGCAGCCATCTTTAAATTAGAATTAAATTTATTGGAAAAAACGTGTTTAAATAATTAGAGCAAGTGAAATAAAGTGCATCGAGCTGCAAAGCATCAATAGCTTCCGCAACGTAAGTCCCCACGCATGATTTCTCGTAGTTTCTTATGTGTGAAAAAATTCTGGGTGCGTGTGTGTGTGTGTGTGTATCTGTTGGCAGATATTTTTCTCAACTCGCCTGCAATCTAATTATTGATTTTTATTGCTGCCATTGTGCCTAAAGATGCTTATACGCGATTGCTATACTTCATATACTTATGCAACCTAGACATTAAAAAAGTAAACTATTTTTAGTTTGTAGCACGTTTATTTTCTATTTTATTACTGCGCACAATGCAGTTTTGTCTGACTGAAAATATGGTGAAATATCTTATCTTAATACTTTGTTTAGTTTTGTGTACATAAGCGAAAGCCAGCTACTTAAATCTACATTTTTTCCGTGCCGGTTTTCTGACTCAGCGGCTTGGTGGTGTTTCTGCCGACACACGCACGCACTAACACACACACACACATACGCACCAAGTCGCTTGGCCGCCATCTTATTTTTTTTTTAGATAGACATTCACCTTTTGCCAGCACTGCTTTTGCCGCTATTTTCAGCCGGTTATGTTGTTTAGATTTCGAGTGCTCTACTAAAAACCAGTTTTCATGTTTCTGCTAACAAACTGTCTACTTTTCCTTTTGTATTGTTTGTTCTGCAAAGCCATTCAAGCAGGTACTATTCTATATGTACCATATAAAAGAAATCATTAAGTACACATGTACACGCATATACGCAAATGCTACCCTCTTTTAATGCATTTCTTGTGTATGTATCTGCGCTTGACAGTGTTACCAGCTATCGTTTATAAAAAGTAGCCGAATCTGATGCTAAAGGCAATCTAATATCTGTGCGCTAATTGATGATTCTCATCATAAAAATACCAAGAAGAAGTTAATTCGTTTGGCGATGTGTGAAAATATCAAAATTCAGCTTGCCAAATTCTGAATTGGCAACACTGGCGCTAGGGTCGTTCACCCCACGCTATAGTTGTTGTAAATACTAAACAAAGGTTCTACTAACTTAGAAGCTATTCATTTGTTCTTCAAAGTACTAACTACACTAATCAGCATTAATTCAAATAGTTTTCAAGGTTTTCATATTTGTGATGTTTTTATTTTCAGCGCGCATCCAGATTTTTTTTTGCATAACTTATACAAACGCTTCATAAACGCACGCTTTCGCTTATCTCGAACACAAGCCTACATTTATATATATACACACACACACACACACGTACACACAGTAAAAATATACACATTTCCAAGCCACACATATATCCACAATCCCAGAAATCCAATGGTCAGGTATGCAGTCTTAAAAGAAAATCCACCAAAGATACTGAATACATTTTACACCCACCATTAAATCCATTTAAGTATCCTATATTCGGTATCTTTGCGCATATCCTCAAAAATTCAATATAAAATATATAATATTGCATCTGTCTTTTTATTGCAGCGTTAAGGTCAATCCGCAACAACAATTACAACAGTCACGTCCAGCACATTATTTGGCTAACGGCAGCAATCTTAAGGCAAACATGGCATTCCGTGGCAATCAGAATCGCAATCGTAACTTTGGTGGCGGCAATCAATACGGCGGCCCGATGGGCACCAATCGCATGGGTGGCATGAATATGTCACCCTGGGAGTCGCAGAATCCCGGCGGCGGCCAATTTGGCAACAACATGCGTCAAGGTGGTGGCCAGATGAACGCCCAGGCCATCAATTTGGCCAACAATCTGCTGAACAATCTATTTAGAAACCAGAATCCACCCTCACTGCTGGACCTGCCACGCGGTGGCATGGGCAATCGCAATCAGCGCGGCGGACCGGTATGTATACGATATTTCAGTTTGCAATCGACCTGATTACCCACACACAACATTCTATGAATACTTTTTTTATATCTCCTGCCTTTTTCTCTTCTCTGGTGGATTGAGTGCGAGCAGTTGAGTTTAACACAAGTTTTGGGCTTGAAAATATCTTGTCTTGTTGTAGATATACTCTATGTAAAATTCGATCCTTAAGCTAATAAGAGTATTTGTTTGTCTTCTGCCATGTTTACTTCTTATTATGCGCATTTTTAAAGGACTTGATAGAATTTCTTATTTAATAACGAATATTTAATATTAATATCTTTTTGTTTTTGACATTTATCAATTAGAAATGTTTCAGTTTTGTTTACCGTCAACTTCTTTAACTCGTTTATTTTTGATAACATCAGACAAGTGTGGCTAACCCAAAACAAACCAACTCCTGCCCTGTCGTATCCACTGCAGAATGAGATAATATCGAAACCTTTTATATTATGATTTTTATTAAGACATAAGCTTTAATTAGAGAGAAACAAAAATCGCGTAGTATGTAGTTTGTAACTAAAAAGATATAACAATTCAACAAATTTGCAAAAAGAGAGCGAGAGAACCCTGCTGTTTATTGTGTAATTGAGGAGGAGGAGGAGAAGGAGAAGGTTTTCGATAGAAAAAAAGCATTTATTCCATTTTAAATGCAAATTTTTGTTTGTGTAGCACAATTTGTTGAATTTAATCGATGTTTTTGTACCAATTAAAATGAAGTACCGCCAACAAATATTCCATTTAAAAGATGAAAAGAGTATGATGATGATAATAATATACAATATACTGATGATATATTTAGACAGCAATGCTTTTAAAGTAAACTTATACAACATATTTCACTTAGATGTATTTAGGCATTTAATTAACTTGTACAAATAATATCAAAAATCTTTGGATTTTTAACAAATCACAAATTTTCTAATTTACAACTATTTATTTTTATTCTCTTCTACACGAAACTAAAAACCAAAACCAAAAAAATAATCATTCGATGCTTGTTTGCAAAAACAAACTCACAAAACGCAAATCGAATCGAAATCGAAAACGCATTTCGAAATGCATCCACTTGTGCCTATACATCAAATATATATATCTATATCAAATATATATATATATCCAATGCCGATGTCTCCGACGTTGTCGTCACTGCGTGCATTCTGTGATTGTTGTTGTTGTTGCTGCTGCTGTTGCTGTTGCTGCCACCAATGTTGTTGTTGTTGTTGTTGTTGCCATTGTTGCGCTGGTGTCTGCCAACAAAACTTTTCTGTTGCTATTGTGTTGTCTTTTCTGGGACAATGTTTATGCAAAATTTATAATTTGTTGTTTTTATTATTTATGTGTGCGCGCCAACTGTGCATGAACCGATCAATAAAATACAATGCAAATCAATTTCGAAATTAACTCAAAAATATATAATGTACAAAAATCAACTAAATTAATAAACATGGCAATTTTGCGGCACATGCAACAAAACGAACGAACAAACAAACAAACAACGCAACACAACACACAAAATGCAAAAAAAAACGCAATTATGAACACAACGATGCGATGCCACTTCCAATGCGACGCCCACTGATTGATTGATTGATTGATTGAACTCTTCTAATCTGCTCTGCTCTGAAACTGAAAACCCGATCCGATCTGGTACTGGTACTGATTGATGGTGCAACTGTAACTTGCAATTACCAAAAAAACAAAAACAAAACCAAAAACCAAAAAAACATAAATAACAAAAACAATTATTTAACACATCGCCACTCTTCTTCAACGTTCCTGCTCTGATCGAACTCACTCGAATAATCGAAATCGAACTCAAAACCGATAACCGATAATCCAATTCGGTTCTTATGCCCGCCCGTTTGTGTTTCTCAATATATCCAAAAATAAAAACATAAATAAACACCACAAAATGCCACGCGCCGCCACGCCAACGACTTCAACAACAAACATCCCCGTCGACTGATTGCGCGAACCGCCCCGCCGAATTGACCAATTGCATTATCTATATATAATCTATATATATATCTATCTATATCAACATCTACTTTAATGTGAATTCTGTCCCACTGTCAAAATGGAAACTTATTCCGCTGAACAATCAAATATTGTAAATGGTCTATTGCCATATATATATATTTATATGCATCCGTTCGTTTTGCTATTATTTATATCTATAACGATTTAATTGTATATCTGTAACGATCAATTTATAATTGTACCATATCGATAACGATAACGATTGCGATATCGATCGAATCTATCTATCCATTCCATGTGTTCCATGCGTTTCCATATTTACAAAATGAACAACAACAAAAAACGAAAATCAAATTTTATAAACTAATATATATGCGAACTACTCAAATGTATTGTATGAACTATGTATGTGTAAAACAAACATAAAGATGGTCAATCGCGGTGGCGGTGCCGGCAATCGTCTCAATAATCGTCGTGGCCAAGGAGGTTTCCAAAATCGTGGCGTTACTGGTGGTCCCAAGCCCCCCCAAAAGCAGGGCGCCGGCGGCATTCGTAAGCAGAATGCTTTTGATCGTGCCAAGAAACTTTTGGCTAAAAATGCCAACACTAATAAAAAGAAGGAAATTACTCCTGGCGAAAAGAAAATCGAGAGGTAAGAGTACAACTACTATAAAAAATCAATTATAAAAAAAACAAAAAAAAAATGCAATACAACAATTCCAATACAACATTACCAACAACCAACAGCGAAAAGTTGCTCAATTCGCAATTTTTTCCCTCCACAAAAATCTTCAAATATTTTTTAATAATGCATCTTCAACAACAAAAAGTTATACGTATATAAACGCAAATAATTTTTAAGTACTTAATTTTCAAGTTTTTCCAATGCATTTGATAAGTTTCTCCAAAAATAATCACAATTAATTTCCTCGAGTTAAATGGGGGTTATATATACATGTTTCCCCCTCTTCTTTATTTACTTTTTTTTCGAATAGAAGAACATACATTCTCACTGGGTTGATGTTAGGGTCTTAGGTTATATAAAGCCTGGCCGACAGATTGGTCTAGAAATATATATATATATATATGTTGAATATTTTTGATTTACAGTGTTACGTATTTATATTTTGCTTCTGTTTTGCATATGCTAACATATTTTGTATTTATTCATTGATATCATTAAGGGAGTTTTAAGGACGGGCTTTCATTCTCATGATAAACATTTGAAGGCTTTTCGGTTCACCGAATAATATATATACCCCTGCAGCTTTGTCCGATCAATATTGTTTTGAATAATGTCATAAGAGTATCTTATATTGCAGGGGTATAAATTGGCTTTAACAAAATCAACAAGAGAGATTCGCTACGACTCTTTTTGACTTTGAAGCTCACAGCATCCATTCAATCACGACATTTGTATTGCAAGAATCATTTAAAGGGAATTAACTTCATCATCCATTCAATCGATATATATTATCCTTGCCAGAACTATTAATATATATATTTGATATGTATGTCTATGTTCCACTGTGATCCTTTCAGCGTGACTTCTCGACTGCCGTCTTTAAAGTCAGCCATCATGCTCTCCCAGACGCGCATGCCTTCGTACTAAACATAGTTGACTAATAAAACTTATTTTCTACTCTTTCCGCACAATCACATCTGATATTAGTATCACCACTCCCAAGGAGTCGCCGTACGCTAGCGTGCCCAATGATATGTTCTATTGTCATTTGTGCAAGAAGCACATGTGGGACGCCAATTCGTTCGAGAACCACATCAAGGGACGCACCCATTTGATGATGCGCGAGGGCATCGAGGAGAGCTATCGCCTAAAGGCCAACATGATCCGCCAGGAGGCCAAGATTGCCGAGCAGCTCAAGTCCATTGAGTTTGATCGTTTGAAGCGCATGGGCAAGAGCAAGCAGCGCCAGTTGGACTACTGCACCATGTGCGATCTCAACTTCCATGGTCACATTTCAACCCATCGCAAGTCTGAGGGCCATTTGCAGCTGAAGAAGTTCCTTCATCCCAAGTGTGTGGAGTGCAACAAGGAGTTTGCTACACGCATCGATTACGATACTCATTTGCTTTCGGCCGATCATCTGAAGAAGGCTGCCGAGAACAATACGAAGGTGGGCGAGCGCAAGCGTCAGACCTTGCCCATCAGCACCGCCGAGGAGGAGACACGCGATCTGCGTCCACCACAGAAGCGCAAGAAGAAGCCCATCAAAAAGGAGGGTGAGGAGACCACTGAAGTCAAGAAGGAGGGTGAGGAGGGTGCCGAGGGCGAGGAAGCTGAAGGTGAGGAGCAAAAGGAGGGTGAGGAGGCCGCCGATGAAACCAAGGAGGGTGAAGAGCTCAACGAGAGCCAGGAAGAGGAAGAGGTCGCCCTGCCAGTCGATCCCGAGGACTGCATTCTTGATTTTGCCGAAGGCGACGAGATTCCCAGCGAGGTGGACACCCGTCTGCCCAAGTACAACTGGCAACGTCCCGTAGGACCAGCCCTGATCTCAAAGCTTGAGTGCTTCGAGTGCGCCGTCTGCAGTAAGTTCTTTGATACAGAGGTCACCGCCGAGATTCACTCGCGCACCGCCACCCATCATCGCAACTTCCTTAAGTTCATCAACGAGAAGTCCAGCGATACTAAGATTGCACAAAAGCGCGCCGCCGCTGCCCTTGAGGAGAACGAGCGCAAGAAGCGCAAGATCGAGGAGACCGAGGCACCGGCTGCTGAGGGCGCCGCCGAGGAGACTGCCGAGGCTGGCGAGGGTGAGCTTTACGATCCATCGGAAGCCACCGGCGATGATGAAGATTTTGAAATGGCCGAGAATGCCGAGGGCGAAGAGGAGGCAGCCGAGGAAGAACCCGCTGGCGAGGAAAACGGTGAGGAGATGGAGACCCAGGAAGAGGAGGAGGAGGCCGAACAAGAGGCCGAACCCGAGCCAGAGCCGACACCAGTTCCAACTCCCGCTCCGGTTGCCCAGCCAGCAACACCGGCCAAACCGGAAGCAGCCAAGACGCCGGCCAAGGCACCTGCCGCAGCCGCTGCTGCTGCTGCTGCTGCCACACCGGCTGCTGGCGCCAGTCCAGCCGCAGGTGGAGCTGCTGCCCCAGCCGATGCCTCGCCATCGCCAGCCAAGAAGGCAACGCCCGCCCGCGCTGCCGCCGGGCCCAAGGCAACGCCACAACGTAATCGCGCGCGCGGCCGTTACAACCGATACTAGACGATGGCAATTTTGGACTTAAGACACAATATATAGCTATATTATAATCCATTATTATACACAAACACAAAGAACAACACACTTTCCACACGTTTGAGACCCTTAATGTAAGAGAGACATATAGAAACGGATGCACGCGCCGCCCTTCATCTAAAGCGAAACTGAACTTTTCTCTTAGTGACATTTTCATCCCATTTTGCATAAACTTTTGTAATTGACACAGACATTAACCAGATTGATTCTATTTCAAGACGGGTCTTCGATTGCAAACCAAACCAAACCACATTCAAGGAAATGGCAACAAAACAAGTTTAAAACAAAAAGAAAATGCATTCAAATTATGTAATGAATAACTTTTAAAATAAAACTTAATTGTAATCAAATATATAAAAAGATTTTAAAAAACAACTAAATTCAATTAAATGCGGCGTAAGGATGCAAAGGAGTGTATCTTAGAACTGGAACAGACACCAGGTAGAACTTCAAAGGATCTCATTTAGGATTTAATAGGGACGCGGCGTTTCAGACCGAGGGAACCTGTTTGTTGGAGAATGGAATTGGGAGTGTTTGACATTAGCCATAAAACTTCTACCAGGCTTTTAATTTTTATTTGGAATTAATTGTAATCAAAAATATAAAAGGATTTTAAAAAATTACTAAATTAAATTAAATACGGATTAAGGAGCGGACCACCATATCAGAATGGGAGCCGTCGTCAGAAAAAACTTCGACGTATCCCGTTTAGGATTTAATAGGGAGTATAACGCAGTTCGAGGGAACCCATTTGTTGAAATTCGGTGCCAGCAGCTTAAGCTTAAGAGGAGAAAGGAATTGGGAGCTCAGCTATAAAACTTCTGCAAAGACCAGGCTCTTAGTTTTTTTTGGGATTAATTGTAATTAAAGATATAAAAGGAGCGGACCATTATATCAGAATGGGAGCAGACCCAGATATAGCGCTAAATGGATCCCCTTTAGGATTTAATAGGGACTATTATGCGGCGTATCAGATCCAGGGAACCTGTTTGTTGGAATTCATTGCCAACAGCTTAAGAACAGGAGTTAAGAGGAGAAAGGAATTGGAAATGTTTGACATCAGCTGTAAAAGTTTTACAAATATAGGATAGTTTCACCAATTGGCATAGACCAACCAAAGGATTAAATTAGCTGGCGCACTTTTGGACTTGTGCGGAGCAACTTGCCTTACTTCTAAATAAAAATAGGTAATCCATTTAATATTCTATCTATATTCCCGATATGCTTACTTTGTCGGAACTCCGACCCCATAAAGTATATATATTCTTGATCAGCATCAATAGCCGAGTCGATCTAGCCATGTCCGTCTGTCTATCCGTCCGTCCGTCCGTCTGTCCACATGTAGGAACGCAAGGATCTCAGAACCTATAAGAGCTAAAGACTTGAAATTTAAGATGTAGGTGCTCCTACTGAATTTGTTACCGATAATCGATAATTTACTCCGTTTCTAAGCAATCGATAAAAATCGATATCGATATCCTACTTTTTGGGCAATTTTGGTAAATAATAAGAGCTGGAGTCACCAAACTTGACATATAGCTTCTAAAATAGAATATATATATGCATTTGATGTTGGAAGAAGAGGGTTCAGGGTATCCCCTAGTCGGGAGCTCCCGACTAGAACCTCTTTCTTGTTTTTAACTCGTAGAGGGTATTATAATTAATACATCATATGTTTAAGCCATAGAAGACATCAAAGTTTTAGATATATATTTCTAATATACTGTTAATACAAAAAAATCGATTCGACGTAGCCTTTTCCGTCGGTCTGCTTTTATGCAAGTCAGTCTCTCACTTTTGAAGCTATCATCATCAAAGTTTGCATAGTTCTGTCTTTCTATTAGGATCTGTAGAACCGTAATCAGTCGTATCGAACTACTAAATTATTTTGTCGGATTTATTTCAAACCTAGTTTCAAATCTAAATAAGAACTTAATGAAAACGTACTTCGGCGATTTGGGAAATTTCGCCCGCAACTGTGGTAAATTGGCGGAAAACTGTTGCATGGAAGTTTTTTGCTTACCGTCCGATCGGTTTAAATCTCATTTCCAAAGTTCTTTAAGAGAATTTCGTATCCTATATAGACATGGGTCGAAATTTCCCACCCCCATAACTCGGTCAAAACTCAACCGATTTACATAAGGTTTGGCTTTTTGTTCATGGTTTGACCTCTTGATCAACTTTGCATCTAAATCTGGAAACATGATTCTTGGTCAAAATTCATGTTAGAATGGAACCTCAGATATATCCTATATAGACATGGGTCAAAATTTCCCACCCCCATAACTCGGTCAAAACTCAACCGATTTTCATATGGGTAGGCTTTTTGTTCATGGTTTGACCTCTAGAACAATTTTGCATTTAAATCTGGAAACATGATTCTTGGTCAAAATTCATGTTAAAATGGGATCTAAGATATCCTATGTAGACATGGGTCAAAATTTCCCACCCCCATTACTCGGTCAAAACTCAACCGATTTTTATATGATTTGGCTTTTTGTTCATGGTTTGACCTCTAGATCAATTTTGCATCTAAATCTGAGAACATGATTCTTGGTCAAAATTCATGTTAAAATGGAACCTCAGATATCCTATATAGACATGGGTTAAAATTTCCCACCCCCATAACTCGGTCAAAACTCAACCGATTTTCAAATGGTTTGGCTTTTTGTGCATGGTTTGACCTCTAGAACAATTTTGCATTTAAATCTGGGAACATGATTCTTGGTCAAAATTCATGTTAAAATGGAACCTCAAATATCCTATATAGACATGGGTCAAAATTTCCCACCCCCATAACTCGGTCAAAACTCAACCGATTTTTAAATGGTTTGGCTTTTTGTTTACGATTTGACCTCTAGATCAATTTTGCATATAAATCTGAGAACATGATTCTTGGTCAAAATTCATGTTAAAATGGAACCTCAAATATCCTATATAGACATGGGTCAAAATTTCCCACCCCCATAACTCGGTCAAAACTCAACCGATTTTCAAATGGTTTGGCTTTTTGTGCATGGTTTGACCTCTAGATCAACTTTGCATCTCAATCTGGGAACATGATTCTTGGTCAAAATTCATGTTAAAATGGAACCTCAGATATCCTATATAGACATGGGTCAAAATTTCCTACCCCCATAACTCGGTCAAAACTCAACCGATTTTCAATTGGTTTGGCTTTTTGTGCATGGTTTGACCTCTAGATCAACTTTGCATCTCAATCTGGGAACATGATTCTTGGTCAAAATTCATGTTAAAATGGAACCTCAGATATCCTATATAGACATGGGTCAAAATTTCCCACCCCCATAACTCGGTCAAAACTCAACCGATTTTCATATGGGTAGGCTTTTTGTTCATGGTTTGACCTCTAGATCAACTTTGCATCTCAATCTGGGAACATGATTCTTGGTCAAAATTCATGTTAAAATGGAACCTCAGATATCCTATATAGACATGGGTCAAAATTTCCTACCCCCATAACTCGGTCAAAACTCAACCGAATTTCAATTGGTTTGGCTTTTTGTGCATGGTTTGACCTCTAGATCAACTTTGCATCTAAATCTGTGAACATGATTCTTGGTCAAAATTCATGTTAAAATGGAACCTCAGATATCCTATATAGACATGGGTCAAAATTTCCCACCCCCATAACTCGGTCAAAACTCAACCGATTTTCATATGGGTAGGCTTTTTGTTCATGGTTTGACCTCAAGATCAATTTTGCATTTAAATCTGGGAACATGATTCTTGGTCAAAATTCATGTTAAAATGGAACCTCAGATATCCTATATAGACATGGGTCAAAATTTCCCACCCCCATAACTCGGTCAAAACTCAACCGATTTTCAAATGGTTTGGCTTTTTGTGCATGGTTTGACCTCTAGATCAACTTTGCAAATAAATCTGGGAACATGATTCTTGGTCAAAATTCATGTTAAAATGGAACCTCAGATATCCTATATAGACATGGGTCAAAATTTCCCACCCCCATAACTCGGTCAAAACTCAACCGATTTTCATATGGGTAGGCTTTCTGTTCATGGTTTGACCTCTAGATCAATTTTGCATTTAAATCTGGAAACATGATTTTTGGTCAAAATTCATGTTAAAATGGAACCTCAGATATATCCTATATAGACATGGGTCAAAATTTCCCACCCCCATAAGTCGGTCAAAACTCAACCGATTTTCAAATGGTTTGGCTTTTTGTGCATGGTTTGACCTCTAGATCAACTTTGCAAATAAATCTGGGAACATGATTCTTGGTCAAAATTCATGTTAAATTGGAACCTCAGATATCCTATATAGACATGGGTCAAAATTTCCCACCCCCATAACTCGGTCAAAACTCAACCGATTTTCAAATGGTTTGGCTTTTTGTGCATGGTTTGACCTCTAGATCAATTTTGCATTTAAATCTGGAAACATGATTCTTGGTCAAAATTCATGTTTAAATGGAACCTCAGATATCCTATATAGACATGGGTCAAAATTTCCCACCCCCATAACTCGGTCAAAACTCAACCGATTTTCAATTGGTTTGGCTTTTTGTGCATGGTTTGACCTCTAGATCAATTTTGCATTTAAATCTGGAAACATGATTTTTGGTCAAAATTCATGTTAAAATGGAACCTCAGATATATCCTATATAGACATGGGTCAAAATTTCCCACCCCCATAACTCGGTCAAAACTCAACCGATTTTCAAATGGTTTGGCTTTTTGTGCATGGTTTGACCTCTAGATCAACTTTGCAAATAAATCTGGGAACATGATTCTTGGTCAAAATTCATGTTAAAATGGAACCTCAGATATCCTATATAGACATGGGTCAAAATTTCCCACCCCCATAACTCGGTCAAAACTCAACCGATTTTCATATGGGTAGGCTTTTTGTTCATGGTTTGACCTCAAGATCAATTTTGCATTTAAATCTGTTAACATGATTCTTGGTCAAAATTCATGTTAAAATGGAACCTCAGATATCCTATATAGACATGGGTCAAAATTTCCCACCCCCATAACTCGGTCAAAACTCAACCGATTTTCAAATGGTTTGGCTTTTTGTGCATGGTTTGACCTCTAGATCAACTTTGCATCTAAATCTGGGAACATGATTCTTGGTCAAAATTCATGTTAAAATGGAACCTCAGATATATCCTATATAGACATGGGTCAAAATTTCCCACCCCCATAAGTCGGTCAAAACTCAACCGATTTTCAAATGGTTTGGCTTTTTGTGCATGGTTTGACCTCTAGATCAACTTTGCAAATAAATCTGGGAACATGATTCTT